AAGCAGCACTGCACAGGCAGGTCCTCCATCCCCACACACAGCTTAGTGCCTCAGACCCCACAACAAGGGCTCTCTTGGCTCCTGGCAAGCTCAGGGGGAGGAGCTGAAGCCCCATAAGCAGAACAGACCTGAGGGCCTGGGTGGTGCATGCTGGGGTGGTAAAAAAGGAAAAGCCGGGCACCGGTGGCTCATGTCTGTAATCCTAGCTACTCAGGAGGCTGAGATCTAAGGATTGAAGTTCAAAGCCAGCCCTAACTGGAAAGACCGGCTCTTCCTTCTTTCTTTCTTTCTTTCTTTCTTTCTTTCTTTCTTTCTTTCTTTCTTTCTTTCTTTCTTTCTTTCCTTCTTCCTTTCTTTCTTCCTTCCTTTCCTTCTTCCTTCCTTTCTTTCTTTTTCTTTCTTTCTTTCTTTCTTTCTTTCTTTCTTTCTTTCTTTCTTTCTTTCTTTCTTTCTTTCTTTCTTTCTTTCTTTTTCTTTCTTTTTTGTTACCCTTGAAGCTTGAACTCAGGACCTAGGCACTGTCCCTGTGCTTTGTCACTCAAGGATAGTACTCTGCCACTTTTAACCACAGCTCTACTTCTAGTTTTCTAGTGTTGAATTGGAGATGAGAGTCTCACAGACTTTCCTTCCTTGGCTGGCTTCAAACTGAGATCCTCAGTTCTCATCCTCCTGAGTAGCTAGGATTACAGGCATGAGCCACCAACATCTGGCTCCCTGAGACTCTTACCTCCAATTAACCACCAGAAAACTGGAAGTGGACTTGTGCCTCAAAATGGTAGAGTGCTAGCCTTGAGCAAAAGAGCTCAGGGATAGCACCCAAGCCCTGAGTTCAAGCCCCATGTCTAAGAAAGAAAGAAAGGAAGAAGAAAGAAAGATAGAAAGAAAGAGAGAGAGAGAAAGAAAGAAAGAGAAAGAAAGAAAGAAAGAGAGAGAAAGAGAGGGGAAGGAAGGAAGGAAGGAAGAAAGGAAGGAAGGAAGGAAGGAAGGAAGGAAGGAAGGAAAAAAGGAAGAAAAAAGATGGAAAGAAAGAAAAGAAGAAAGGAAATTCCAGGGCCAGCCAGGGGGCAGCGAGCCCAAGTCTGCACAGCAGGCCGTGCATCTCAGCTCTATGCTGAGAAGCAGATTCCTTACTTTTCTGGGTCTCAGTCTCTAGACAAAGGAATGGCTGACCACGGTACCCACTCTCCAGGGCTTCATACAGAGGCTGGCACACAAGCAGTGTGACCAGTGAGGGCCACGCCAGTTGGCTCCAAACACCCTGAGAAATCTTGATGGGAAAAGGACACACTTCAAGGGCCATGAGTCGCAGTGTTACTTCCTGTCAGACCCCAAAGCTGATCTCCTCCTTCACTCCCTACCAGAAATCTGGCTGGGGAGCAGTCAGGAGTGGGATGTGGAAAGGACTGCACCTCTCTGGGCACAGCACAATGGCTCAGGGGAGTCTAGCTGTTTCAGAAGAGGCAGCCTCCCTGCAGCCCAGGCCCGTGTGAGAATGGTACCTGCAGTGACTTCACAGGACTCATCCTTCCCTTCTGCCAGACCCCGGGAGAGTGTGGGAGGCCTGGGCAGGTGGGGCAGGCAGGGAAGGGAGAACACGATCCTCGCAATCAGGAAGAGGTAGAGCCAGGGTGGCTGCTCCAGAAGTGGGGAGAACTGAGGCCAGAAGACAAAGGCCACAGCTCCCAGGGACAAAACCTAGCCCCCAAGAGCAGGGGACATGCCTGTGGACAGCACTTCCCCATAGCTCCAACCAGAAAAATGCACACTGACCCCAGGCCCCAAGTGGGGGCCAGGAAATATGCCACAAATCAGGGGTGACTTCAGCAGAGGTCTCACTGTGCCTCCCTTTTCCTTAGGCACAGAGGCAGGGAAGTCCTTCAAGAGGAGCCAGAAAGCAGCAGAAGGAGCTCACAGCAAAGCCAAGGGCGGCTTTCCAGCAGCTGTCTCAGAAGCAGATGCAATTGAGCCCCCTTCTCTGGGTCAGTAAGGTACCTATGGGGACAGCCCAGACCAGGCGGGTAGGATACCAGGAAGGTACCCGGTAGGAGGCCAGGGGAGCACTGGGTCTATCTGGCGACAAGTCCTAGGGATGGTCCAGGAACAGCCGTAGAGAAGCAAAGGGCCTCAGAAGCCAGAAGAAGGGGTCATATCACCTGGGGAGTGTCATGGCCAAACACCTCATCTCCCAGGCCCAACGCAGCTATCCCCAGCCTAGCCTGACCCCAGGGTCCAATTGAGTTTCTGTGGTCAGGAAATGCCTGAGAAGAGCAAGTGACTGCAAGAAAATATGGCCCCAGGTGTCCCAAGGGGAGAAAGACCATCTAGGATGGAGCTCCTGGTCCAGGTCTCTTCCCACTGTCTAGTCTTTTCTGGAAAGGATTCCTAGGGACAGCAGGAGATGACTGGTTTCAGCCAAGTGGGTCTGTGCCCGGTGTTGGGCAATGCTCAGCCATAATAAAGCAGTTATGAAACCAGTGGGCAGTGGCAAGTCGACTGGATGCCGTGACTAGCTGGGGGCTCCATGCTGCCCTCCTTGGTAGGACAGGGGGGCCCTGGAAGAAGAGGGGCTGATAGGCTCACCCCACAACCAGGTGGCAGGGGCTTCTGCCTTTGCTTCTCCAGAGTACCTCGTTTCAGATGCCTGGGAAGCATTGGACCCTCATTAATCACCTGGCACTGGCTGTTTTATAGATTAGGAAACAGCAGCAGAGAGCTAAGGGATGCAGGCTAACAAGAGGCCTCTAGCCTGGCACTGCCCATCCTCATTTCCCAAGGTCCCCCAGGACTGTCATCTCCCAACCAAGGCCAAGCAGAGCCCTGCGGTAGTGACAATGACAGCCCGCACTGCCTCGCCAACCCTTCTACCCACCTGATACACGGCATCAATGCAGCCCAGCACACAGCTGTGAGATACAGTGGACTCCAGCTCTGCCTGGGGGTGTGGGCCAGGCCCCAGGCCTGCTGTGGCCTCATTCACAGCTCTGGGCCACACAGTCCAGTTTGGCCCAAGCAATGCTTCCCCCTTCTGCACCCGAGCCACACAGGGTGTGGGGTGGGTCTCTGCCTGCTGCCTGAAAGGCCCAGGCTAAGCCCTGCTCTGGTACCTGGGCAAAAGGAAAGGAAATGTGGCCAACCCTCAGCACAATGGATCTCAGCACAGGAGAGGATGAGGAGCAGAACCTGGGGACAGATTCGCCAGTGATTCAGGAGGACCCCAAGCACTGCACAATGGCATGATCACCCACGGCCCTGTTAAAACAGAGCCTAGCCACACACCCAAGAAGGCCCCAGCCATGTGAGAGACCCTGCACCACCACACAGGCCCAGAGATAGGGTCACATCAGGGAAGACCACCTCCCCTTAGTCCTCACATAACCAGAGCCTGTTCTGAGCTCTGACCCACCAGCTTCACTGAAGGCAAGGCATGGCGTCCTGACCCCTCTGTTCCCAAACCCTGAGGCTCAGCACACTGTAGTGTGCACCCATGGCCTGGTGACCCAGGACAAAGCAGTGTCCCCATCCCCCCCCCCCGGGGGTCTTCACCTCTCCTGTTCACTGGGGGTGAGTGACACCTATCGCTTGGAGGGAGAACAGAAAGGGATCAATCCAGCCATCACCAACCACAAAGAAGAGTGCAGGTCCCTGAGACCCTGGTCTTCCTTAAGAGAAACATCTTTGGCCCGTCATCCTACCCCATCTCTCATGCCACATGTTCACCGCCTACTTCATTCCCCCAAAGTCTGTCAGGGGAGCGCTGGGCCCCTCTCGGGGTGATGGTCCTACAGGGCTGCCCCTCACCTTCACGCTGGTGAGTCACTTCTTCCGACAAAACCCCACTTAAGACTCCGACTCCACAACACTCCCACTTCCCTGCCCAGACCACAGAGTCTGGAACAATCCCTCAGCCTCCCTCCCCATGCACGCCTAGAACCCAGAGCCACAGAAAAAAAATCAGAAGACCAAAGTTCACTAGAGAAGGGAAGATACTTGCCACCCTCCTCACCGCAGTACAGTGCTCCCTGCAGCCCCTCATTCTGCCCCTCCCCGCTCCTGCCCTGGGGCTCAGGTCTCCCCATCAGCCTCTGTCCGATAGCAGTGCACAAGCACCTGGATTTTAAATGCGTTCATCCACATACAGACAAGACTCCCTGTACCCCCAGCCCACCCGTGCCCCAAGTAGAACACAGCCTCTGCTCTGGGACCCACATCTACCTGTGGCTCAGCGACCAGTCACACCAGCCTCGCAGGCAAAGCCAGCCCACACTGTGGCTTCTAGTCCTGTGGTTGAGGCCTGGCCTGGCCCCACAGCCAGGCCCACTGCCACCCTCCTGCAGTCCCTGCTCCTGAGCCCCATGGCAGCATGGGGAAGAGGCACCTGCTCCACCCTGGGCTGTATGATAGCCCTCTGTCTCTTGGGCATGTGCCACTTCCAAGATTTTTCTTTCTTCTTTTTTAAAAATTGTTTTCTCTTACGTGAGGTAGTAGGCATGGAACCCAGGCCTCTATGTGTTCAGCAAATACTCTACCCCTAGTCACACCCCACTCTTCACTCGCGTAGGATTCTAATTTTTTAACGTATTATTGTTTTTCTTTCAGAAAATAAGTTTCCTCTCCAGTTTGTATTTTTTTTTTACTTTCTGTTAGAAAAGCCTCACTTGTAAATGTAAAATTACAACCTTCAAAAGAAATGTGGTCATCTGAGCGTCTGTGGTTCCCAGAATGCTAAGAGAGGGACAGCGCGGCCGTGCTAACGGCACTTTGGCTGGCTGGCAAAGTTGGTGGCCAGTTGTCTTCATTCCCCAGACACCGAGCCGCCCCTCCCAACTGTCTGCCCTGGAGGAGATGGGGAGCCTCACTCCTCGCTCACCCTGCCTGTCCACCCACAGCCAGGCCCACAGACAGAGTAGCTCCCTCTCTCCCACCCCACTGGGGTGCCGGGCCTGTCCCCTCAGGCGGAGGCCACAGGGGCCATGCCACTTCATCCCTGAGCCCCACTTTACCTGGCTCTCCTGGGCCTCACAGCAGCCGGATGGGGCTCAGTTCCTGTAGGGAGGTGGCTGGGCCTTGCCTGTCCTTCTGGAGGCGTCCAGTCTCACACATGTGCAGCTCCCTCCACTGGCTACCTAAGGAGCATGAGTCACCTCTGGGACCCACCACTTCCTGCTCCGGAGGCGGCAGGGCCAAGGCCCGGCCCTGCTCAGCCGCGCTCGCCTGTGCTATGCAAGGCCCCTCTCCCAGCCACGAGCCCTCCACGGGAGTGGGGGGAGCTGCCAGTCCAGGCTCCAAGCCCCAATGACTTCATGGAAATTTGAAGCTTGAGACTGGAACAATCTTGAAAAAAAATATAATAATAAAACATGAACCAAAAAACTCCATTAGAAGCCCCAAGACGGCTGCTCCAAGCAGGAGTAAATGCATCCTTAATAAGCAATTAGAGGCAGACAAGCTGGCACAGAGCCTCGTCCTGGCTGGGCCGCTCCCAGACAGGGCCCTTCACTTCCGTGGGACTCCCTGAACTACGCAGGAAGTGAGGTGGCCCAGGATATGGCCTAAGACACCTTTCCCTACCTCCCATCTGCCCCTGGGGGGACAGGGCAGGGCGTGGCCCAGGCTCAGCCCTGGGGCTCCAATTCCAAACCACAGAGTTGAAGCAGCCAAGGTACAGAAGCTAGGACTCACCCCCCCCCACACACACACATATTGGGGTGTGTGTGTGTGTGTGTGTGTGTGTGTGTGTGACAGTACTGGGGCTTGAACTCAAGGCTTGGGTGCCTGTCCCTGAGCTCTTACTTTACTCAAGGCTTGTGCTGTACCACTCGAACCACAACTACACTTCCAGCTTTTTGATGGTTAAATTGATTCTGGTGCCCTACATCTTGTATATACATTTTTCTAATTTGGGGAGGGGAAGGGAAATAACAAAATGCTGAAATAAGGACACAGGATGACCCATTATAACAATGAGATGTACAAGACACTATGTTGAAAACAAACTTCACAACTTGGGGGGGGGGGGGCGGGAGGAAGAAGTTGGGGACTTGGGGAGGGAAGGGATGGTAGGGAAAAACAAAGGAGGAGGTAACAATGCTCGATAGGAAATGTACTTATTACCTTACTCATGTAACTTAACCCCTCTGTACAGTATCATTACAATAAAAATATATATTAAAAAAGAGTCTTACAGAGTTCCTGGTCAGGCTGGCTTTGAATGATGATCCTCAGCTTTCAGCCTCCTGAATAGCTAGGGTTACCCGCGTGAGCCACCAGCTCCGCTTCTGTCTTCATGCCAGGCCTCCTAAGATCATAAGGAACTTAGGAGACTGGGAAGGTCTGAAAAGCAGGGACCTCCTAAGATTGTGGTGGGGGAGGGCGGGTGGAGGAGAGTCAGCCTGACCCAAGGGACACCCTCTCAGATCATGACTGGGGACCCTGGCTTTATCTTCTTTTCTCTTGACACCCCGACTGCTGTGTGAGCTCCTCAAAACAAGGGTGTGCCTCTCCCCACTTCAAAGCTGGTGTCAGCCATGCCTCTTCTGGGCCTCCTGCCCCTGCTTCTCCTGCTACCACACCTCTGCTGCTCCCTCTTCACATGGGGTGACCGTACCGTGATCAGCCTGTCCCCAGCAGTGGCAGCACAAACAGGCCAAGAGGACTGAACACAAGATGCGATTTCAGAGACAGGCCCTGTAATAAGGGCTAGCCGCTGCCCTAACCGTGTGCCATCTGGTGGACAGAAGTAGGATCCACAGCCATAGGTTGTTCAGAAACCCCATGAGGGAATCAGGTACCTAATGGGGAGCCTGACTTTCAACAGACATCTCCAAGACCTGGGAGTTCCAAAGCAAGGAAGGAACAGGTATCACTGAGAGAAAACAAAAGCCGTGGACTGGAGGATATTCAATCACATCTAACTATCCTCTCCAGGATATATAAAGATCACCCACAAACCAATAAAAAAAAAAAAGTGGCCTAGTTAAAGTGATAAGAGTTGCAGGCCATCCAGGGAAGACTATCTGCCTTTCCTGTCCCAGAAGCCACACATGTGTCCAGGGACTGGACCCAGACCTTGCCATATGAATCCTTAGGCCTCTTAAGACTCAAATGTGCCTGGCAGCCTCTATGGAAAAACAGGTCCAAGATGAGGCTAGCGGCAGAGGGCAGACAGGACAGGCAGCATCAGTCAGCCAAGCAATAACCACCACCAAGCGCTGAGTGCACAGCCTGGCCCCTTGACAAGTCTACCTGTGGAGGCCATTAATACCCCAGAAAGGAAGCCCATGGTACCCTACACCCTTAAACTCAGCAGCTTCTGCAGGGTCTGAGTGAGGAGGACAGCAACCATGTCAGATAAGGCTGGTCACGTGTACCACACAGCCCAGACCCCTTGACCATGAAAAGAGCTTGGTTTTTGGTCAGTCATGGAGCATGAACTTGGAGCCTAGGTGCTGTCCCTGAGCTCTTTTGCTCAAGGCTAGAGCTCTACCACTTTGACCACAGTGCTGCTTCTGGTTTTCTGGGTGATCAATTGGAGACAAGAGTCTCACACACTTTCCTGCCTTTGAACCCTGATCCTCAGATCTCAGCCTCCTGAGTAGCTAGGATTAAAAGTGTGAGCTCTTGGAACCCAACAAAAAGATCTTTTTAAATCCAGCCTTGTAAAGATAACCAGGCCAGACCATGGGACATTGGGGAGCCCTGTGTGGGTCAGGACACACCTTTCCACATGTGCGGTGAGCAGCAAGAGAAAGGACTTAGCAGGGCACAGCCAGAGAGGCCAGTCAAAAGCCAGTCTCAAGATCCCAAGCCCTAGGTCCTGGCTCAACTTCATGGCTGCCCTCCTCAAACACCTCTATAGCTGATCTGGACCTCCAGATCAAGTCTGGCCCATGTCCCAAGCAACCCAGTGTCTTCCCATCCTGCTCTCCCTGGATCCTACTCTCTTGATCCCACTCTCTACCTCCTGGACCAGGCTGAATTTTGACTGCTCCTGGATCAGGTGCAAAGGCCATGGCTTCCAGAAAGCCTCCCCAGAGCCCCATTGCTGGAGTTTTGGCCAACAGTGGCTCTATGTGGAAGGCCGATGGTGTTAACCTCTTTCTTTGGCAGCTGCTTTGATTTCTGTGGGACTCAAGTGGCTCTGAGGCTTCTGTGGGCACTGTTTTCCCAGTGACGGGGAATGGGAGCAGAAGCGGTCAGCCTCCCATGTGTCTGCCTTTGGGGGTCTACCTGGGAAGTCGAGCCCCTACTCTGTGTGCCCAGTGGAACCCTACCCAGGCCTTGGTGTGCCCCAAAGTCTATCCTTAGTTAGCCCCACTGGAAGAAGCCCAGGGCCACATCACCCAGGAGCTGAGGACCCGAGGCCTCCTGCAGGGCCAGCCTCCTCACACACCTCAACCACAGCAGAGGCCTCAAGCCCGACCCACCCAGCCAAGCCTGACTTCCTGACCCCAAGACATCCAGTAGTAAGTGGAGTCATTCATTAATGCAGCAAGATCACAAAGCAACTGTGATGGGAGAGGGAGTGGGAACAATGCCTGAAAACGAAGCACAGACAGACAGATGGCACACAAGTAGCCTTCGGATCCCACTTGAACCCCTGGATCCAGCCAGGCCTGAATCCATACCAAAACTGCCCTTAGACTTTTATTCAGAGCCAACACGCGGAGCTCATTTCTCCTGCTGGATCAGAGCTGATGGCCCTTAAAGAGTTTTAAACCACTGGACTCTCATCCCTTCCTCCCAAAGCAGGTCTACCTACCTAGCAGGGGCCCAGAGTTCTGTCTCACCCTGGTCCATTGTGACTATGAGTCAGTGGCGGTCCTTGGGGTCGGTCAGGGTAAACCCCAAAACTTTTCCAAATGCACCCGCACACTAATCAAACAGCCTGTGCCTTGTCACAGCCACAGCCCCCAGGGGACATGTAGACAGCTGCTGCTGGGCCGGGGCCTCCTGCCAGACTCCAAAGATGAAGCTTCCGCCATGTGGGTGGAGCAGCCTGCCCAGGGGCCTCAGGCTGGCTCCGTGACCTCAGGACCCTTGTTTCTGCCAGGCCTGGGAGACGGGGCTTCAGAGAAGGAAAGGGACAGCCGGGCCACGGGCTGTTGAGCAAGAACAGAGAATCCGAAAAGCACAGATGTGAAAGCAAGCACCCTGCCAGCCCAAAGGGCCGATTGCCTTTGAAAAGCTTGGCAGCTGGGTTCACCAGCCGCCTGTCCTTCCCTGCACCCGGCCAGGGCGACCCAAAGAAGGGCAGAGCGGAAGACCACCCCCTTGCAGCTAACCCTGAAGTGAGGAGCACAACGCAAGGACTGCGTGTGAAGCCGGGGGAGCCGGTGCTTCCTGGCCTGCGTGAGACCCCTAACACACACACACACACACACACACACACACACACACACACACACACACACAGTCAGGTGCCAATGGCTCACTCCTGTAATCCTAGCTCCTTAGGAGCCTGAGAATGGTCAAATCAAGGTTCAAAGCCCTGGGAGAAATTTGCAAGACTTTTTTTTTACAGTCACAACTTTACTTTTACTTTTTTCTTTCTTTTCTTAATTGTCAAGGTGATGTACAGAGAGATATCAGTTACATAAGTAAGGTAATGAGTATAGTTATTTTGGACAACGTCACCCATTCCTTTGCTCTCTAACTTTATTATATTTTAAAATCCCAAAGTGGTGAAACACAGAGCTTTTCAAACACCTAAGGGCTTTTTAACTGGGCACAGGATCTTCATACAAACAATTTGAAAGAAGACCAAGCTCCAAAATCATGTTTTACATCGCTCAAGGAACAGCATGGATGAAGGAATGCTTTACACCATGTCATCTGCATTTGACATTTGTGTGTAAAGTACACTTGCTTTTCTAAAAAAGAAAAGAGAAAGCAAGCAAGCAAACCAGACACTGATGGCTCATGTTTATAATCCCAGCTATTCAGGAGGCTGAGATCTGAGGACCACAGTTAAAAGGCAGCCCTGGCAGAAAAGTCCATGAGACTCTAAGCTCCAATTAACTACCAGAAAAACTGGAAGTGGCACTGTGCTCAAGTGGTAGAGTGCTAGCCTTGACTGAAAGAGCCCAAGGTGGAAGGAAGGAAGGCA